CGAAGAGCGTGGGGGGCCACATCTCAGGCTCTGTAGCACCTGCCCTCTGGCTTCTATCCCTTCTGGTGAGGCTCCCAGACACTCACAGGAGCCAGACCCCAAGGGATCTCAGGTGCGCTGGTGGCTCAGGACCGAGACCTGGTTTCTCCGCCACACTCTCTCCGGCTCAGCGCCAGGAGAGGCTGTCCTGGGTCCAGGGACTTAAGCCCCTGTCCCTAGCTGCCCTGATTCCCGCAATTTCCCCCCCGCGATCCTTTGCTCTCTTTGCGTGCTTTCAACCAGACTCCAAGTTAATGCTGGTCCCCAGACCCAGGGCACTCTTGGATTGGGGTATTACTTTCCAGTCGGTTGCCTCTGGTGGCTCCTTCCCCCTTTTGTTTATCTTCCGATATCAGTCCGAAGTTCCCACTCCGCTTTACCTGCCCACTGGCATCTTCTGCCCCTGTAGAGATCCAGACATGTATAATTCTGACCTCAGGCTGTTTTCATGGGTGATCGGAATTCTTTGGTAGGTAATCAGCTCACTTTAGGGTACAGGTTGAAAAGGCGCCTCCTCCTACTTCCCCGCCATCTTGTCTCTCCTCCTTTGCCAATTATTATTTGACTGTAGAGTTGAGGATTCATATCTGTGCTCTCTATTCTGTTCCACTGACTTATGTGTCTGTTTTTGTGCCAGTACCATGCTGTCTTGGTGATCACAGCTTGGTAATATAACTTGAAATCATGCAAGGTGATGTCCCCATCTTTGTTTTTTTTTTTTTTTTTCCAACATTTTCTTGGTGATGCAGGGTCTTTTCTGATGCCATACAAATTTTAGGACTGTTTGTTCCAGCACTTTGAAAAATACTGATGATATTTTGATTAGGATGGCATTGAAAATATAGATTGCTCTGGGCAGCATAGAATTCTTAACAATGTTTATTCTCCCCATCCATGAGCATGGTATGCTTTCCAACTTTTTGTGTCTTCTTCAATTTCTTTCATAAGCATTCTGTAATTCCTAGAGTATAAATCTTTACTCTTTGGTTAGAGTTTTTTGATGGTATCTTATGTTATTATAAATGCAATCAATCCTCTAATTTCTCTTTCTACAGTTACATTGTTAGTGTATAAGTAAGTAAATTATTTATGTGTATTGGTTTTGTATCCAACCACATTCCTGAAATGCCGTATGAGTTCTAGTAATTTGGATATGGAGTCTTTTGCGTTTTCCATATAAAGTGTCATGCCATCTGTGAAGACAGAGAGTTTGACTTCTTCATTGACAATTTGAATACCTGTTATTTCCTTTTGTTTTCTGATTGCTGATGCTAGGAATTCTAGTACTATGTTAAACAGAGTGGTGAGAGTTGGCATCCTTGTTGTGTTCCTGATCTTAAGGGAAAGACAGTCAGCTTTTCCCCATTGAGGTAATACTCACTGCAGGTTTTACATAGATGAATTTTATGAAGTTGAGGAATGTTCCTTCTATCCCTATACTCTAAAGAGTTTTAATCAGGAAAAGATCCTGAATTTTGTCAAATGCTTTTTCTGAATCAATTGAGAGGATCAGGTGGTTCTTCTATCTACTCTTATTAATTTGTTTTATCTCATTGATTGATTTGCGAGTGTTGAACCACATTTGCATCCCATGGATAAATCCCGCCTGTCTTGGTGGATAATCCTTTTAATGCACTATTGGATTGTTTTAGCTAGGTTCTTGTTGAGAATTTTGGCATCCACGGATATTGGTCTGAAATTCTTTTTGATGGGGTCTTTTCCTGGTTTGGGGATCAAGATATTGCTGGCCTCATAGAGTAAGTCTGCTCCTCTATAAATCCTCCATAACACACAGTCTCCCCCTCTATAAGTGTTGCTGAAAACCACAGCCTCCCACAAGTGGTGCATGCCCCCCAGTGATCCTCTCAGCGGTGGACCCCAATCTCAACTTCTCTCTGCACCCCCATGCCACCAAAACTACAAAAGATCCTAGTTCAGGCAATCCTGGGCCCTGGAAGTAGCTGGTCCTGGTTAAGTGGCTCAAGTCCATGCCAGGTCCTCTCAAGCATGGATGGGTGGTGGTTGTGGCCAGTTCTGGGATTGTAGGCATAGGTCCACCCCTAAGGCTGCCCAGTCCCAGTCCCAGCATTTGTCCCTTAACCCCATGTGTTCTCTTTTAGACCTATTATAAATTCCTTCCCATCCCTCTGCCCCTTATCCCCAAGATGTTACCGTCACCTAGTGCAGGATTCTTTTGCACTGGGGTATTACTTTCCGATGGCTAGCATCTGATGGCCCCCTCCCCCTTCTGTTTATCCACTGACATCTGGCTGCACACTCACAACTCCATCCTTTGTACCTTTAGACTGAAGACCCTCTGCCCCTGTAGAAATCCAGACATGTAATCTTACTTCTCATGCTGATTTCATGGTGTTCAGAGTGCCTTGGGAGATATCTAGTTAAATTCAGGGAAATGGTTGAAATGGATTACCCCCTCCTCCACCATCTTGCCTCCCTTTCCCCCAGAAATTAGATTTCATATCAAAGACTTGTAATAAGGGATGAAGATGGCCATTATATTATACTTAAAGGGTCTATCCAATAAGATCTAACAGTTATAAATAATTATGCAGATAATATGGGAGCAGCCAATTATATAAACCAATTAAGAACTAAATTAAAGGAAGACATGATATTAATAAAATAATAGCAAAGAATTTAACACCCTATTCAGAGCAATGAGAGATCATCTAAGGAGAATATCAACAAGGAAACAAGGGCTTTGTCTGACACACTGGACTATATGGACTACACAGATATATACAGAACTTTGGAACTTAAAGCCACAGAATTCACATTCCTATTCTCCTATAGGTCATTATCTAGAATAGATCACGTACTGGGTCACATATCTGGTCTCATTTGGTACCAAATAACTTGGACTATTCCCTGAGTATTTTCAGACTTCAATGATCTGATACTTGATCTCAATGACAAGAGAAAATTTGGAAGGAACTCAAACACTTGGAAGTTCAGGGAAAAAATTAGAATTAAAAAAATCATGGAAACAAAAGAAAATGAAAACATGACTGCTCATAATCTTTGGGAAAAGCAAATGCAGTTTTGAGAGGGAATTATACAGCAATACAACCCTTTCTCAAAAAAAAAAAAAATAGAAAATTCCCAAATATCCATCAGAGAAGGAGAAATACCATGAGAATCTCTTAATTATAGGAAACAAATTGAGGGTTGCTGGGGGGGGAGGTCAGTAGAGGGGATGAGTAATTAGGTAATGGGCATTAAATAGGGCATGTGAAAAGATGATCACTGGGTGTTATTCCCAAATGACAAATTATTGAACACTACATATGAAACTAATGATATACTGTATGTTGGCTAATTGAATTTAAATTTGTAAAAAGTAAATGAAATTCAGCTGTATTTTTTAGAGTTTTATTTACTTTTTATTTTTTTTATTTCTTTTCAGTGTTTCAGAATTCATTGTTTATGCACCACACCCAGTGCTCCATGCAGTACGTGCCCTCCATAAAAGCACCACTAGCCTCACTCAACTCCCCACCCCCCTTCCCTGCAAATGCCTTGGTTTGTTTCTCAGAGCCCACGGTCTCTAGTGGTTCTGCTGTTTTGCAGAAAGTTCTATAGCTTCCCCCAAACTGCGTGCTTGTACCAGGAAGAGAGATATTAACAGAGGTTCTTATATATAGACAATAGGGCAATGTTTGTTTTCCACACATCTCCTTTCACCTTCCTGCTAATGCTCTTTCTCCTCTTTGATCCTCAGACTCCTATGTCTCCTTTGCTCAAATAAGTGTCATGTTGGCTGACTATCTTTGGAATTCTCCATATCTGTGTGTATTCCCTTAATGCTGGCTATTAAATTTTATTTTCTCCTGTTAATTTGGTAAATGTCACTTTGAATCTTATCTTCCAGGTAAATCTTCCAGGTAAATAACCTTGAAGAACAAAGGAGACGCTTCTTCACCAACAACAGACCCTGGTGAAGTTTCATCAAAGTTCAGGCAAGAGTAAGCAGAGAGGTGCATTCCTAGGACTCATGAGGAACAGTCCTCTTGTAGGGGCTAATCCTATTTCCTGGAAACATGAGGTAGAAGTAATCGTGAATCACAGGTGGGTCTTCAAGTTGTCCCAGCTGGAGAAGCCTCTCACCACAATGTTCCCAATCTTCCTCCCACCTTCCTCTCCTCCACATCCCCATTCTCAGTCCTGGCTTCTTCCTATTCATAAGGACCCTGATATTTCTTCTTCCTCCACCCCTTGTCCAGAACAGCTAGTCTGCCTGTGGCACAATTCATAGCCCCTCATCTAGTCACACCTCCACAATCCCCACCTGCTTCTTCATCACTGGTGCAGAACGAGGATGTTAATAGTGGACATCAGATTCTGGGGTTCCCTGTTAACCTCTGCAGTACTCCATCTCAACCCCAACAGCTTCACCACTCATGCTCCTGTGACATTGATTGATTCCTTTACAACAACTTTGGGTCCTGTGTCCTTCCTCTCTCTTCCCCCAGACACCTCAGTGTCCTGGGCATGAAAACCCTTCCTATCATGTCCACCTGTGTTCTGCACACCTACTCATGTGTGGCACATAGTAGATGTTCATTTATTGGTGTGGGTGTGGGTGTATTAACTGACAGGACTCTATCCAAAGTTAGACACACCTGGTCTCTGTGTCTGTTGCTGTCTAGTCACAGAATCTGTCCTGGTCTCTGTGTCTGTTGCTGTCTAGTCACAGAATCTGTCCCCAGGGCAACCTGCCCAAGGAACCCTGGAATTTCTCCTCAATATTAGAAAATCTTATAATATGTTCCTGCATAGGACGAACTTGTGAGATCTGAATTTAAGGAATGTGGACTATTAAGTAGTCAAAGTTCCTGAGATTGATCTCAAACAACAGTTTAGAATAAAAAAAGGAGTCAGCTGATATGGCTAAGGAGAGTAGGCTGCAAGAGGACCTCCATTGCTGGGGGAACAGCAGGTTATTGTCTCACTTCCTCACAAACCCAGAGCACTGTGTGACCACTGAGACTTTTATCCCCTGATAAGCAGTAATAATCAGCCTCATCCTCAGCCTTGAGACCAGTGATGGTGAGGGAGCCAGTGTTGCCAGACCTAGAGCCAGAAAACCGTTCAGGGACCCCTGAAGGTCTACTGCTAGTATTATAGATGATGGTTTTATGGGCCTTTCCTGGGTGCTGTTGGTACCAAGACACAGTATAACCATCGCCAATGTTGGTGCTGTCTCCAGTGCAGGAGATGGTGACCCTCTGGCCAGGGGACCCAGACAGTGAGGATGGCTGAGTCAGCACAGACTGGGCCCAGGACCCTAGAAGGGGAAGAAACACAGAGGGTGATGCTGGGGTCTAGAGATAAGAGAAGGAAGCAGGTCCTCATGTGTCCTCCCAGGGGCCCTTCCCCTGTTTCCACATCCAATCACCTGTGCAGTGAGCAAGGAGGGTGAGGAGGAGGGTATACCAGGCCATGGTGGAGGTCATCACAGATCCTATCTTCTATGGCCCCACAACTGTGCAGAGCCTCCCCTAATCTCTCTCTTCCCTTATTCAATCCTTGAGAGAAGGTGGGGTCAACCATGCAAATGAAACACCCAGGTCTCTGACCCCTCACTGGCCATGGGTCAGGTCCCTCTATTTGAGCAAGTAAGAGCATTGAGCAGGGGAGGAGCTCTAATCACAGGTGAACCTCAATTACAGGCCATGAGTGTCCCCTAGTGCCTAGACACAGACACATTATTGTGTGGTATGGTGACCAGAACCCAGCAGACACTTCTGTCTCCCCAGTGCTCTGTCCTCTCTTTCTTCCACTAGGACCAAGCCATGTGTCCCTATATGCTGCTTCCTATTACTTCAGGGATCATTATATGCTCTACTAAGTGTCTTCAGGGTTAGTCTGTCCAAATACCTCTTGGCGTGGTGGTGGTTCAGGACTGATAAGGTGTCTCTTATACAAATTTCTCTTAGATAAGCATCAATATGAGAGAACTGACAGTTCCCAATGGACTTATGGCCCCTTTTGTGTAGGATGCATGGATTTTCCTCCTATCAGCCAGCTCTCTGGTTTCCAGAGCTCTTCATCCTCTGAATATCCCTCAGCCTGGAGGAGATCTTCTCTCCAGTTTGTAGGCAGAAGCCCTCGTGTGGATTCCTTCAATGGTTACATATTGAACATCTTTGTTCTCTGTCATTCCTCAATCTTTCCATCTGATTGAAACAACAGTTCTCCACATGCTGGGGCCACAATTACATCCTAGGATCTCTCCTCAAAGCACACAGAAACAAGTCTTCAGGAGGCTTGCCACATGAGTATATGTGTTTCATTAATGGTGGATCACAAAGGGCAAAAATGTTTGAAATTCTACGAAGAAAGGGGTGACAGGTACAGATGCTCTGACAGAGACCTGGTGATAGAGTATATATTTTAGTCACCACTGAACCAACTTTATACTTAAAATAAATGTGTGTTATTTTCTCCATAATTCCATTCAGTAAGATTGACTTAAACTCAATGACAACATCATTGTAAAGTTGCAGGTACCATCAGTAGTGTAGTTTCCCCATATCTGTGCTTATTGCAGAGAGAATATGTGTGGAAAGGGTGGTTAAAAATATGGATGGAAAACAGTGGGGCAGAAATGTCTTCTGTTCTCAGCATAATATGCTTTTCTAAAATCCCTTATTTGTATCATGTGTCTGGTCTCCCAGGTAGGAAAGATCAACCTTCTGCCCAGTAAAACCAATTCAGGGGCCTGTTCCTATGAGCTAAGAATGATCCTACTGAAAAAATTGCCAAACAGAGGCAGAGCTTATAGGATGAAGGGATTTGGGGTCAGACCACTCTCTGTGTTGGAAATAGCTCTAGTCCCTACAACTTGTGTCCAGGATGTCCAGGGTAGAGCAGTAATTCATTCAGCCACTCATGACTACAGGAATAAATTTCTGGTACCCTAAGCCAAATGGACCCAGAAGTTTCTGTCAAATATTCCACATCTGATTTGAGGAATGATGGAGATAAGTGATATTGTCCCTGAGGTCATATACCATTTGGCCTTGGTTTGGGACAGATAACTTTACATCAGTGTGCAGCCTGGCTGGAGGTGTCATTGGGATGACGGAGGGAGTTACAGGGCATCCCTGAGAGCACAGTGAGGTTGTGTCTCTAGTTCCTAAGGTTTTTGAGCTCCATCAGAGCAGCACTGAGGCTGGAGTCTCATAATCAATGTGCTGATCAGCCTCATATGCTGACTGTAGCCCAGAGGTTGTCAGGGGCTGAGATTGCATGGTAGCAAAGATTCCTCCTGAGATTCCTGACCATCAGCATCATCCCAGAGAGCCAGGGCTCAGGGCACGTCCTAGTTGTGTGATGACAGGATCCCAGTAACACCGCCTGCCCCTGGGGTTTCTTGCTGATGAAGATTCTGCCTCCTGGAGATAGTGGCACTGAAAATGGCCGCATGAGCCCAGGTTGACCCTGGCTTCTGGAGAGACAGTGAAGCCCAGAAGCATAGATCTCAGCACGTTTGTCACATAGGAGATTAAAGAGATGTTTGTGTGTATACCTCTGTGTGTGTGTGAGTGTGTGGGTGTGGCCAAAAATGTGGCTAAGAGGCCCCCTGTTACTTGTGTGGCATTTAAACACCCTGAGGAATTTCCCAATGATAATTCTTTTTTTTTTTTTTAAGATTTTATTTATTCATTTGACAGACAAAGATCACAAGTAGGCAGAGAGGCAGGCAGAGAGAGAGGAAGGAAGCAGGCTCCCTGCCGAGCAGAGAGCCCGACGCGGGGCTCGATCCCAGGACCCTGAGACCATGACCTGAGCCGAAGGCAGAGGCTTAACCCACTGAGCCACCCAGGCGCCCCTCCCAATGATAATTCTTTTTAAAAACCTCCAAGGTTCAGAATCCTGCATTTAAAGGCAAGCATTTCAAAGGTTTTTGTTGTTGTTGTTGTTGTTGTGTGTGTGTTTGTTTGTTTTAATTAAAAAAAATGGTTTATGTCAGCTGCAAGGACTGATATGAGAGTAAACCTGTTAACAATTCACTGAATCAGGAGTCAGGTCTTACTGTATGAGAAGAAATTTATCTTTTTTTTTTTTTTAAATCTCTGCAGACACAAGACCTATATATATAGTGTCTTATGTTATCAAGCAGCACAGGGCATGGGATAAGCAGGCAGATACCATCTTCCTGCCACACACAACAACCAAACACACAGTTACTTGTGTGCCTAGGTGTCTAACAAGGACAGAGAAGAAGAAAATGATGATGTTTTTGTGATAAAACATTATAGCCCAGGAATTCAGTTACCATAGGAAAAAACTGTTTCTGTAGAGGATCTGCTGTCCACAGAAATCTGAAGAATTAGAATCTATTTGGAACATAAGAAAAATAAATCCATATCTTAAAATATGAAGGTGATTCTCCGTGGATCTCTTCAGGTTTCCACATGTGTGTGGCATCAGTTAATTCTGAAGGTTGTAAAAATCAACAGATTCCATGTTCAAATACCTAAGGATTAGATTAACACATCCTTTTAAGGAAAATGAAATAACTTTACTTTCATATAAAGAAACTGACCAAGGGTGTTGGCAACAAAAACATGGACCCTGGGGCGAGAACAGGAAGGAGAATGTGAGGTGTTGCATGCAGCTCTTTTTTCTGCTTCAACTGCAGAATGAAGCCCAGGGTTGAGCAGAAAACCTGCATTCATTAGCTGAAGCATCTTTTGATACAGAGAAACAGCTGCCAACTCCAGATCCATGGTAATTATCTGAATCAGGGGTATACCAGGGAGGTTCTCTGGCTTATGGTAGAACAAGCTTACGCTATAGCTTTCAACACTGAAACTACTGCTCAAGTATTTAGGCGAGTCTGGCTGCTGTTCCCAAAAGTGCCTAGAGGGAGGACAGCTGTGCTGACAGGCTGGGACAAGAAACTTGCAAAAACACACAGTCATGGCTGATGGAGTGGACACAAGGTAAAATTTCACAGGGTGTGAGCCAGAGGTTCTGAACTAGCTAG